CAGTGTCCTATTCAAAAATCGTGTTGACAAACTTAAAAATGTAAATTACTCGAAACAAATTAAAATACATGGAATTTCAGGGTCAACGATTTCGCAAGGTTGCGTGTGCCTTAAATTGGAATTATGGTAACATAGAAGTGTGCCACGATTTTTTGCTGATAGATTCTTTTGATGATAATTTTAATGGGGTATTAGGTTCGGATTTTTTTATGCACTACTCAACAAAAATTGATTTTGAGAAATTTATTTTTTCTTTTTGGATAAATAATGAAAAAATATGTATACCGATGAGGTCAAAACATGAACAAATTGTATCTATTCCTGCAAGGTGCGAAATAATTAAATACTTTGACATATGCAATAATGAAGATTGCATTGTCTTGCCAGAAGAGATATCCGAAGGAGTTTTTGTGGCTAGCGCCGCAGCTAGACCAAAGCTCAATAAGATTCCTGTTCGAATTTTGAATGTGCGTGAAAATGACGTACTGTTAAAGAATTTTACACCAAAAACGAGGTCACTTAGTGAGTACGAAATCTGCAGTTTCAGCACTACAGACAAAACTGTTGATAGAATAGATGCAATTTTAAGCATGTTGAAACTTGATCACTTACAGCGATCCGAGAAGTATTCAATTCAAAGAATTTTTTCTAAATATTCAGATGTTTTTTACTTAGATGAGGACCCTTTCACGACCACAAACATTTATAAACAAAAAATAAGTTTACAGTCATCCAAGGCCCCTGTATATGTTAAACCGTACAGGTTGCCACATGCGCATAAGGAAGAAGTAAATAGGCAAGTTAATGACATGCTAAAAAACGGTCGTATCGAAGAGGCCAAGTCACCGTGGTCCTCGCCCTTATTAGTAGTACCAAAACATGCAGATAGGGAAGGAAATAAAAAATGGCGTTTAGTTTTAGATTACAGACTTTTGAACAATTGTATACAAGATGATAAATTTCCTTTGCCTTGCATAACCGATATTTTAGATTCTTTATCAGGAGCAGTCTATTTTTCGCATTTGGACTTGTCACAAGGGTATTACCAAATAGAGCTTGAGAAGGAAAGCAGACAATGTACTGCCTTTGTCACCGACAATGGGCAATTTCAAATGACAAGACTCCCTATGGGTTTAAAGATAAGTCCGAGTTCCTTTTCAAGAGCTATGTCAATTGCAATGGCAGGCTTAAATAATTCTTCGTGTTTTATTTACCTGGACGATTTAATTGTCTTTGGAAATAGCCTAACTAATCATAATCAGAATTTGGTAAAAATACTAGATAGGTTACGGCAAGTTAACTTGAAATTGAATCCAAAAAAATGTGACTTTCTTAAGCAAGAAATATTATATCTAGGTCATCTAATATCGAAGGAAGGGGTAGCTCCAGATCCCGAAAAAACTAAGGCAATTTTAAACTTTCCGGTTCCCAAAGACGCAAATGAAACGAAACGTTTCGTGGCATTCGCTAATTACTATAGGAAGCATATAGCAAACTTTGCGGATATAGCTTCACCTCTCAATTTTTTAAGTAAAAAAGGGGTGCCATTTAGGTAGGATTCACGTTGCCAGCAGGCCTTCGAAGGCTTGAAGCAGGCATTAATGAACCCCCCCGTCTTGCAGTACCCAGATTTTTCAGAAACAAACATATTTATTCTCAAAACCGACGCTTCAAATGTGGCATTAGGAGCAGTCTAATGAAAATGACAAACCTGTAGCGTATGCCAGCAGAAGCTTAAATAGTCATGAAAGAAATTATCCAGTCATAGATAAAGAACTCTTAGCGATTTGCTTTGCAGTGAAAACCTTTAGAACTTATTTATATGGGAGAAAGTTTATTATATATACGGACCATAGGCCTTTAGTTTACTTATTCGGCATGACTAACCCTTCCAGTCGGTTAACAAAATTCAGATTACTTTTAGAGGAGTACACGTATGAAGTTCGATATTTGAAAGGTAAAACTAATGTGGCAGCAGACGCTTTATCCCGTATCACAATCTCATCGGATGAGTTGAAAAATATGTCAAATAATGTATGTAGTATGTTCGCTGTAACGAGAAAGCAAGCCACATCTGTTGACGATAGCAGTTTTAATAGCACTGCCCACAAAAGACTTGATCACCCTGGAGTGGTGGAGCTATTGAAACCGCCTAAAAGTTACGTTGAGGCTTACGTCATATCAGTAGAGGAAGCAAACTCGATCAGCGTTAGCATCTGGTGCATCGTTGAGAGACTTAAAAGAAATTTGCGAAATGTTTCAAATTCCGGAAGTAATTATATTAAAAAATGCTAGCAATAAAATTTTGATTGAAAATATATTTAGGGATCCCATAATAATTAAGAATATAAATTTGAGATTATCAATAATAAGAGATGTGCAAAAAGTACAGGGTAAGGAAATGCGACAAATAATTTTAAACGATTTTCACATTCTGCCAAGTGGGGGACATGCAGGTATGAACCGCATGTACAACAATATCAAAAAATTCTATTTTTGGAATGGCTTGCAAAAAGATGGACAAGATTTTGTCAAACGTTGTGATGAATGTCAGAGGTATAAACATTCAAGGCCTTATACGTGGAGCCTATGACAATCACTACAACCGCGTCGTCAGCTTTCCAGAAAGTTTTTTTAGATCTTGTTGGCCCACTACCAGTAGACTGCAATAATAACCAATATATACTTACACTCCAGTGTGAGTTAACGAAGTTTGTGGAATGCTACCCAATTAATAATAAGGAAGCAATAACAGTTGCGAAAGCCTTTGTTCAAAATTTCATTTTACGTTTCGGTGTCCCACAAACAATTGTTTCGGATCAAGGTACAGAATTTATGTCGAAAATTCTAAAAGAAATTTGCAAAATTCTCAAGGTTCAACAAATTTCTTCTACGGCATATCACCATCAGACTTTAGAAAGTTTGGAGAACACTCACAAAAATTTAGGCGCGTTCTTAAGAATGCAAAGTGATAAGTTCCCAGATTCCTGGAGCTCTTGGGTACATTTTTGGAGTTTTGCTTTCAATACTACGGAGTACACCCCTTACGAGTTAGTTTTTGGGAAATTTTGTAGTTTACCTTCATAGATAACACGCCAAATTGATCCTTTATACAACTTTGATAGCTATCCGCTAGAATTAAAGTTCAGGTTGCAGCAGGCACAAGCAGAGGCAAGAGATAATTTGATAAAATCGAAATTGAAAAGGAAAACCAAATATGACGAAAAAACTAAAACAATAGTGTACAAGCCAGGGGATAAAATTTTAATAAAAAACGAAGTAGGAACTAAAATGGAGGCGTTGTTTAACGGGCCATATGTAGTTATTGAGGATAGAGCTCCAAATATTTTGATACGTATAGGGCATAAGGTTAAGGAAATACATAAAAATAGAATTAAGCCATATTTTGAGAAATATATACTGTATAGGTATTTACTCACAATTAATGACATAGACATAGACAATAATTAATATATAGATGTATGATTAGACTTTTTTTTTCATTTTTTTTTTTGTTTGCGTAGGAGGTGTAGTAGATGTGGATGTATTATAATGAGTTAAGAAATATATTTAGAGTTAAGTAAAGTGAATTAGTAACATACGGTATATAATAATGTATAATATCTAACTAGGTTAATAATGTCCTGCGTCACATATGTTATGATGATAGGATAATTATTGTTATACTAATATATTTATTATTGTAAACTTGTACTAAATTTGGGGAATCAATAGAATAGAATGATTTTTGATACGAAACGAAACTAGTCTTGAATTATTGAACTTGCTCCAAGTCCCGATATATTACACCACAATGCATTTCTTTGAAAAATCGCAGAAATCAGTAATTCGGCATCCATTATCGATGCAAGTCGAGCTCCGACCAGCGACCAAGAATTAAAAATTCATTCCGGTAAAAAGTCGGCGCCGATCTGCGCTGGCAATAAGCACCGATCTGCTTTGTCTCTGTGCGGGTGCATTTAAACGCGGATTTAATTATTGGTGCTTATAAGCGCTTGTCACCAGCAAGCAGGCAACCTGCTTTCTTTGTGCGCGTACCCTAGCAAATATGTCATCTTCGGATGATGATTATTTGATTGCTCTAGATTCTGTGCGTACTTAATTAAAAAGGAAAAGAGTTGGTATACCATATTCTTAATCTTGAAAGAAATCTGTATGGATAATATTATTTCCCTCCAATATTTGTCGACTACATTTCGATTGCTATGCTGCTTATGCCTTCTATCTCAAATTGCGGTTTTTTCAAAAATTGCAGCTATTAGTAACTCCTTTTCCACCACAAGAACTGAAAAGACACTGCCGCGACGCGTGTAAAAGCAGAAATAAACTAAATGTTCATTCCGGTTAAAGCGAGAACGCTAGTTCCCGCCTCTACCTGCCTCTACCCGCTTTTTACTGTGTACTAGCCGATTTAAAAAATGCATTCATTTTTCGCGCTTATAAGCGCTAGTCGGCGCTGGTTACCAGTAAGCGGAAACCTGCTTGTAGTGTGTTTGTACACTCTGACGAGAAACTGAATATCATCATCATTGAAACGTCGGCTTTGATGTTATTTAATATAAAAATTTTTAGAATCATAAAAAAATGCAAATAAAAAGAGGTATACAACAACATAGACATTTCTTACAAAGGAAAAGCGCACGGAAAACGTGAATGACGCTAGAAAAAAGTACTGTTCTGGCAGAGTTTCTTCAAAGTTTTCGAGCCAGCACAAGTCTTATAGCTGAACCACACAATTAAAATAGAATGGCAGCCCCCCATCGTTGATTAGAGCTTTAGATGAAGTAGTTAAATTATAGCTTCGGATCCAGTGGAATGCATTTCCTCCTACTGTCGGCTTATAAATTTTTATGAAGAAAATGGTAATGCGAATAATGCGAATACTTATCTAGTCACAACGGAGAACAGCTTCCATGCTCCCACATATTATCGCCCGCTAGATTAATATTTCTCAAATAATAATTACTGTGGCGTATTACCTTGTGTCTCCTCCATTGACTGCAGTATAATTATCCAAAAAGTTTCTCCAATCATATACCAGTTCAAAAGTCTTTGGCTGATCCTTGGTGTAAATGTGTTTCAAATAATCATAATTGTTTGGATCAATTACGCCAGAGTTTGGATCAATTGGCTCATCTCTCAACTGCTCGTCTTCGTAGATGTGAGGTACTGCATCGACTCGAAAACCATCCACGCCCATGTTCAGCCAGAATGTCATTATGTCCTTAAAAGGAATATTTCAATAGAATCAGCAAAAAAGGCAGGTTTAATGTACCTTCATTTCTTTTTGCACCATTTTTGACCGGAGGTTGAGGTCTGGTTGCTTGTTCGTGAATTGGTGGAAGAAGTATTGACCTCTTTGTTCGTTCCATGTCCAGCCAGAGTTTTGAAACACACTCAGCTGGAAGTATCAGAACCAATATAAATTTAAATATACAAAAATTAAAACATATACAGAGTTATACAGACTCACCCAATTGTTTGGTGGTCCCCTGTTTCCCTCACTGTCATATTTTGCATCAGCCCATAAATAATACTCATTGTACCCTTCTTCTTTATTGATTGATTTTTTGAACCATATATGTTGATCACTACTATGATTCGGTACAAAGTCCAAAACAACTTTAAGTTTCCTTTCGTGGGCATCTTCCAGTAGCTTCTTAAAATCATCCAGAGTCCCATATTCTGGAGCAATATCTCTATAATCGCTTATGTCATATCCACCATCTACCATGGGAGATTTGTATATTGGTGATAGCCATATCGCGTCTACACCTGCGTCGACAAAGTGATCCAATTTCTGTATGATACCTGTCAGAAAACATTTGAAATATGTGCTGATGGAATTTCGAATGTAGATACATACCTGGTATGTCACCAATTCCATCGTTATCGCTGTCTTTGAATGATCTTGGGAAAATTTGGTAAAATACTGCTTTTTGCCACCAGTCTACATTCTCTAAAGAATTGACAATAGCTCCATTGCTAATTAACCAAAACTGAAAACCCACTAAAACCAGTAAAATAGTTGTGCATCTCATATTCTACGATAAACAGTCAAATATCATATTCTAGAAACAATAATTATTGGATAATGATGTTGATGTTAGGTAGGTATGTTTTTATATAGAATAAATGGAACTTACCTATATATTATGTATCTATCTACTACTACGCTGTAGTAGTATATAGGTACGTATACATATTAGTGAGATAAGAACAATATTTATGGAAGATAATCGATACCTATTTCAAAAAAATTATTTTTGTTTTTGATGTTCAAGATAAAGCTATTAATATCAAAAATACTCAATCATCATTTTTCGGATGAAGGCAGATGTTAATAATAATAATTAATGCTTTATTGTCAGAAAAAAATTTAACAAAATCTGTTGACAAAGCCTTAAAAATAATATACTTCTATCTGTATACAAAGTCAAAACAAAACATACAAAATACATAAGTACATCGAATTCGAAGTATAAAATAAACTAAATTAATCTAATAAATTAATAACAAAACAAATTACCTATAAAAAATGCTCCAGTGCGTGGAATGCTCAAAATTATGTGTTCGCAAAAAAGTCATTTATCTTATGAAAGGCTGTTTCCAACAAATATGATTTGAGAGCTATGCGGAATTTAGAAAGAGAAGATACGGACTTGATTTCTATTGGCAGATGGTTGTGCATTTTTTTTGCGTTATACAGAATAGAGCTTTTAATTAATCCTGACGATGGGGTTGGCAGGTAAAGATCATGCTCCGCGTTTCTAAGTGGATAATGATGGAATGGCCTTTCTGAAATACTTGATAGGTGTTTGCGGATTAAACAGACTGTCTCTAGTATGAACAAGGAAGGGAGTGTTAATATTTGATATTTCTTGAAAAAAACTTGGCAATGGGCTCTATTCTTTAGCCTAAGAGAATAACCAATAGCCCTTTTTTGCAATTTAAAGATACGCTCAAATTAAGTCGCACCGCATGTACCGCAGAATGGAAGGGCGTATCGAAGATGTGATTCGAAGAGGGCAAAGTGGACTGATCTAGAGGTTGGAAAGTTAAGTTCTTTGGAAACAAATCTTATTGCGAAACAAGCGGAGCTCAATTTTCTGGACAAAGCATCGATGTTCAAGCTCCATTTCAGGGACTTGTCTATAATTAGACCCAAAAACTTCACAGAATCAACGACGTCAATAAGCAGAAATGATAGGAGCCTTTTTTTTAAATCCCTCAACAAATAATAGCCCTCACGTCGGGATTAAAAGTACCACTTTAGTCTCTAGGTGTATAATGTACTATTTTGGCAGTAAAAAAAAGTCAGGTATTTTTTTATACAATATATTCAAAAAAGCATTTTTTTCTAGCTTCGACATAAAATTTATTTGATTAATGGCAAATTCACTATTCCACAAGCAATAATTATTAAATAATCAGTTTTTGCCACAAGCTGATGGTCAATACAGGAATGTCCTTCGAGGATTGTTAATTCTCACAATCTTTGTATCACTCTTTCAATATGGATTCGTAAGCTGGCAATTTTTTTATTCAGCTTCTTCACAAACGCGGATTCTGCCTAAATTAATATATGGAACCACTTTTTCCTTCATAAGTAATTTGCAGTTTGTCATCCTAAACTGCATCTAGTTATCACAATGTTGCTCCTTCTATAAACATAATATAATGTTCATATTTTTGAAATAATGTAAAACAGAAAATAGGTGCTTATAAAATGAAATTTGGCAACTAAGTTTACTTACATTGAAATGATCTTCGCAGCAACAAATTCCACCAGAAATACTAGACAATACATTAACTCTTTCCACAGCTAAACACCAACTTCTTCTTTTTGTTCATTTTTGGGGACAGCTATAAAGATTTTCTTCGAATTTAGATTACTGTTTTTACAAGACGGAACAAAACATTTACGAAAATCCATAGCCAAATAGTGAACAGTAGGTAGGACATAGGTGGGTACACTGAAACTGAAATGCATGCTCTATAACATCAAATAATGAGAAACAATGACTTACCTTGAATTTATTACACGTTTCTTTCAAATATTTTTCTTGAAACCTCGGAAAAACTGTTGAAAAACTCAAAAAATAATGAAAATATAACAACCATCAACGACATTCCAAAATAAACAAAACAACATAACCTCACAAAATTGCATATTATGTTGATGGATTTGTTTACAACTGCTTTGCGCATGCCCGCCTAGTGACGTCATGGGAGAAAGAAACCAACAATTCGACAGGGACAAAAAATGTTTAAATTTTAAATTAATTTAAATAATACAGGAAACAATTTTCAATAGAACCAATATGACATGGCCAAGTTTTAGGCCTCACAATATTTAAAAATAATGGTCAGTATAATTTTAATAACAGGAGGTAACGACCCTATTGGACGATAGTTCGAAGCTAGATCTTTATCCGCACCCTTATGCAGAGGAATAATTATAGCCGTCTTAAGGCAATTCGGGAAAACACCCTGTTGGAATGATTTATTTATTAAAGTGGTGAGGAGATTCAATGTACATTCTGGTAAATTGAGAAACATTTTTAAAGTGAGCCCATCAGTCCCAGAATACAATTAATTCTACTGCAAAGCTCTGATGTTTCCACGGGTGTTAGAAAAAAACTGTGTAAATTCATATTGATATTCGAAAGATACGAAAGTGGATCGCGGGACGGAACTATAGTAGTCATTAAATTTTTTGCGACATTAACGAAGTAATCGTTCAGGTTCTCAGGTGAGGTAGAGGTTATACTGGATGAGGAAGCCTTATTTCTCAAATCGTTGACAATAGACCACGTTTCCTTGGCAATATTTTTGGTTTGAGCGAACCGGTTGTCATAACAGAAGTTTTTGGCGGCATTTATTGTTTTATGATAAGTTTTTCTATAACATTTAACGTAATAGGCCCCTTGCATCAAATTTTTTTATTGCTGATTTCGATAGTCCATAAAAAATTAGTCAACACATGTTTTTTCTTTTTTTTTTAGTCAAAAATTGACGGAGATATAACGCTTTGAAATGTCCTTCCGACGTCATAACTTAGGTATAATACGTTGTGAGTTGTGAGGTCGCACATGCTCAGTATATCTATATACAGGGTTATTCAAAAGTAAGCGGCATCCTTTCGGGGGCGCATTCCTTGCATAAAAATAAGACAAAAAGTTCCTATTAACATGGGCCCGGTAATGCTTCCTAAGGGAGCTACGCCCCTTCGTATAGGACACCTGAAAGACGTGTTTTTCTGTATAACTTTGAAACCTTTCACAAATGAATTTTGAAAATTGGTGTATTTTATGAACATTTAATGGCAATTAAGATACTTAATTGAAAATTCAAAAATCTTAATCAGTGTCACATACTGGGGAGGGTGAAAACATCCCTATTTTTTTTTACTCGTCAGGTTTTTGCGAAACATACGCAAATCAAAAAAATTTCAAAGTCAATTTTCTCGTAAATGGTACGCTGTATCGAATTGAAGCAAGACTACCTTTTCTGTGTAAAAAACTGTAAACTTTCTGAATTCTCAATCAGAATCGCAAAAACCTGACGAGTAAAAAAAATAGGGATGTTTTAACCCTCACCCTCCCCAGTATGTGACGCCACTGATTAAAATTTTTGAACTTTCAATTTAGTATCTTAATTCCCATCAAATGTTTATAAAATACACCAATTTTCAAAATCCATTTGAGGAGGGTTTCAAAGTTATAGAGAAAAATACGTCTTTCAGGTGTCCTATTCGAAGGGGCGTAACTCCCTTAGGAAGCATTTCCGGACCCATGTTAATAGGAACTTTTTGTCTTATTTTTATGCAAGGAATACGCCCCCGAAAGGATGCCGCTTACTTTTGAATCACCCTGTATATAAAAAACTTAATATTTGTATAACTTGGGTGGAATTTAAAAAAAGTAACGATTTTTTTTTTCGATTTCCTACAGTTTGCAATAAACAATAATCAATTTAATTTTCCATGCAAGTACCCTATTTTGGAAGAAGGGATTGTGCGAAATTTTTTTAAGGTGTGCCAACGAGCGTATGTTCTTTGCCGATACGCGAGAGCCTTTAGTAGTCCAAGGTATATGTTGCTTTTTTTTGATAGGCCTAAGAGGAAATGCCTTGAAAGCCAAACCAGAAAGTGTATTTGCAAATGTAGAAAATGCACTATCAATATCATCAGAGAGGCAATTCCAAGCAATTGATTGACATAGGCGCTAAAAATTTCGAAAATCTTTTTCCGAGAAAATTCGGCGTAACTTATGTGGAGCGTTCCCGCCAATCGTCTTCACAGACAAGTTTGTGAGTAGTGCTTTATGATCTGAAAAACCTGAACTCAAAACAGAACAGTCATCGAAATTTGGATCAAAAGATGACACGACGTAGTCGATAGTGCTAGATAAGGTAACCAAGTCGGCGTCAGGTGTTCTGTAAATGCAAACAATGTAGAGGTTGTAGACGATAGAAAATTCAAATAATTTCTCAATTAATAAATAGGCCCCTTGCATCAAATTTTTTTCTTGCTGATTTCGATAGTCCATGAAAAATAAGTCAACACGTGTTTTTTCTTTTTCTTCTTAGTCAAAAATTGACGGAGATACAACGCTATGAAATATGCCTATGACGTCATCAGGTATAATACTTTATGACGTCGCACATGCTCAGTATATCTATATATACAAAACTTAATATTTGTATAACTACCGAAATAATCATATTTGGGCGAAATGAAAAAAAAGTAACGATTTTTTTTCGATTTCCTACAGTTTGCAATAAACAATAATCAATTTAATTTTCCATGCAAGTACCCTATTGTCGAACTTAGTCATTGCCGAAAAATTGTTATTAGTAGACATTATTACTGTACCTCCGTGGGACAATATACTTCTAGTATACCTAGATATAGTTGTGTAATTTTTGACAAATACAGGCTCATCGATATTTAGTCAATGTTCAGTTATGGCAATAATTTCTGGAAAATTAACTATTCTAGTAATAAATGTAATTCGTCAGTTTTGTGTCTTATGGACTGAATATTGAGAAGAAAAACACTAAGCTTGCTATCGTTCATTTTTTCAGAGGGTGCTTGTTCCTCTGTTCGCGTCAACTTATCTAAAAAAAATTATTTTTATTTGGAGAACCTCCAGAAAAATACTTGGAATGACTCTCCCTC